TAGTGATGATGATGATGGTGATGATGGTAGTGATGGTGATGCTGATGGTGATGATGGTGAGTGATGGTGATGATGATGGTGATGGTGAGTGATGTTGGTGATGCTGATGGTGATGATGGTGCTAATGGTGATGTTGATGGTGATGATGGTGAGTCATGGTGATGTTGATGGTGATGGTGGTGATGGTGTTGGTGATGATGATGGTGATGATGATGGTGATGATGGTGATGTTGGTGATGATGTTGGTGATGATGGTGATGGTGAGTCATGGTGATGGTGGTGATGATGATGATGTTGGTGATGCTGATGGTGATGATGTTGGTGATGGTGGTGATGGTGATGATGTTGATGTTAGTGATGCTGATGGTGATGGTGGTGATGTTAGTGATGCTGATGCTGATGGTGGTGATGATGTTGGTGAGTGATGGTGATGATGGTGATGATGGTGATGGTGATGATGGTGATGGTGAGTCATGGTGATGATGTTGATGTTAGTGATGGTGAGTGATGATGCTGATGGTGATGATGGTGATGTTGATGATGGTGATGCTGATGGTGATGGTGGTGATGGTGAGTCATGCTGATGGTGATGATGCTGATGATGGTGATGGTGAGTGATGATGCTGATGGTGATGATGATGGTGAGTGATGATGTTGATGATGGTGATGGTGATGATGTTGATGTTAGTGATGATGTTAGTGATGATGGTGATGATGATGGTGATGATGATGATGATGGTGAGTGATGATGTTGATGATGCTGATGGTGATGATGATGGTGAGTGATGATATTGATGATGGTGATGATGGTGATGGTGATGATGTTGATGTTAGTGATGATGTTAGTGATGATGGTGATGATGATGGTGATGATGATGATGGTGAGTGATGATGTTGATGATGCTGATGGTGATGATGATGGTGAGTGATGATGTTGATGATGGTGATGATGGTGATGGTGATGATGTTGATGTTAGTGATGATGTTAGTGATAATGGTGATGATGGTGATGATGGTGAGTGATGATGTTGATGATGCTGATGGTGATGATGATGGTGAGTGATGATGTTGATGATGGTGATGATGGTGAGTGATGATATTGATGATGGTGATGATGGTGATGATGTTGATGTTAGTGATGATGTTAGTGATGATGGTGATGATGGTGATGATGGTGATGATGATGGTGATGATGATGGTGAGTGATGATGTTGATGATGTTGATGTTAGTGATGATGATGTTGGTGATGATGGTGGTGAGTGATGATGTTGATGATGTTGATGATGGTGATGATGGTGATGATGGTGGTGATGATGATGGTGCTGGTGGTGATGATGGTGCTGATGGTGATGATGATGGTGGTGATGATGTTGATGGTGCTGGTGGTGATGATGATGGTGGTGATGATGGTGATGATGGTGGTGATGATGATGGTGCTGGTGGTGATGATGATGGTGGTGATGATGTTGATGGTGCTGGTGGTGATGATGATGGTGGTGATGATGGTGATGATGGTGGTGATGATGATGGTGCTGGTGGTGATGATGATGGTGGTGATGATGTTGATGGTGCTGGTGGTGATGATGATGGTGGTGATGATGTTAGTGATGGTGATGATGTTGATGGTGGTGATGGTGATGATGGTGGTGATGATGATGGTGGTGATGGTGGTGCAGGCTGTCCGTGCCGTGGCCCCGCCTGGCTCAGCTCGACGCTCGACTCAGGCAGAGGAGAGAGCGGCAGAGGAGGGTGGACTCACTCCGTGGTGTTCCTGTGAGTCCACCATCATCATCACTCACCATCACTCACCATCACTCACCATCACTCACTCACCATCATCATCACTCACTCACCATCACTCACCATCACTCACCATCACTCACTCACCATCATCATCACTCACTCACCATCACTCACTCACCATCACTCACCATCACTCACTCACCATCACTCACCATCACTCACTCCGTGGTGTTCCTGTGAGTCCACCATCATCATCACTCACCATCACTCACCATCACTCACCATCACTCACTCACCATCATCATCACTCACTCACCATCACTCACCATCACTCACCATCACTCACTCACCATCATCATCACTCACTCACCATCACTCACTCACCATCACTCACCATCACTCACCATCACTCACTCACCATCACTCACCATCACTCACCATCACTCACTCCGTGGTCTTCCTGTGAGTCCACCATCATCATCACTCACCATCACTCACCATCACTCACCATCACTCACCATCACTCACTATCACTCACTCCGTGGTGTTCCTGTGAGTCCACCATCATCATCACTCATCATCACTCACCATCACTCACCATCACTCACTCACCATCACTCACTCACCATCACTCACCATCACTCACCATCACTCACTCACCATCACTCACCATCACTCACCATCACTCACTCACCATCACTCACTCACCATCACTCACCATCACTCACCATCACTCACTCACCAACACTCACCATCACTCACCATCACTCACTCACCATCACTCACCATCACTCACCATCACTCACTCACCATCACTCACTCACCATCACTCACTCCGTGGTCTTCCTGTGAGTCCACCATCATCATCACTCACCATCACTCACCATCACTCACCATCACTCACTCACCATCACTCACCATCACTCACTATCACTCACTCACTCACCATCACTCACCATCACTCACCATCACTCACTCACCATCACTCACTCACCATCACTCACCATCACTCACCATCACTCACTCACCATCACTCACTCACCATCACTCACTCACCATCACCATCACTCACCATCACTCACCATCACTCACCATCACTCACTCACCATCACTCACTCACCATCACTCACCATCACTCACTCACTCACCATCACTCACTCACTATCACTCACCATCACTCACTCACCATCACTCACCATCACTCACTCACTCCCCATCACTCACTCACTATCACTCACCATCACTCACTCACCATCACTCACTCACCATCACTCACTCACCATCACTCACCATCACTCACTCACCATCACTCACTCCCTCACTCACCATCACTCACTCACTATCACTCACTCACTCACCATCACTCACCATCACTCACCATCACTCACTCACCATCACTCACTCACCATCACTCACCATCACTCACTCACCATCACTCACCATCACTCACTCACTCACCAACACTCACCATCACTCACTCACCAACACTCACCATCACTCACCATCACTCACCATCACTCACTCACCATCACTCACCATCACTCACCATCACCATCACTCACCATCACCATCACTTACTCACCATCACTCACCATCACTCACCATCACTCACCATCACTCACTCACCATCACTCACCATCACTCACCATCACTCACTCACCATCACTCACTCACCATCACTCACCATCACTCACTCACCATCACTCACTCACTCACCATCACTCACCATCACTCACCATCACTCACTCACCATCACTCACTCACCATCACTCACTCACCATCACTCACCATCACTCACCAACACTCACTCACCATCACTCACTCACCATCACTCACCATCACTCACTCACCATCACTCACCATCACTCACTCACCATCACTCACCATCACTCACCATCACTCACTCACCATCACTCACCATCACTCACTCACCATCACTCACCATCACTCACCATCACTCACTCACCATCACTCACCATCACCATCACTCACCATCACTCACCATCACTCACCATCACTCACTCACTATCACTCACCATCACTCACTCACCATCACTCACCATCACTCACTCACCATCACTCACCATCACCATCACTCACCATCACTCACCATCACTCACCATCACCATCACTCACTCACCATCACTCACCATCACCATCAATCACCATCACCATCACTCACCATCACTCACCATCACCATCACTCACTCACCATCACTCACCATCACTCACTCACCATCACTCACTCACTCACCATCACTCACCATCACCATCACTCACTCACCATCACTCACCACCATCACTCACCATCACTCACCATCACCATCACTCACTCACCATCACTCACCACCATCACTCACCATCACTCACTCACAATCACCATCACTCACCACTCACCATCACTCACCATCACCATCACTCACCATCACTCACCACCATCACTCACCATCACTCACCACCATCACTTACCATCACTCACTCACCATCACTCACCATCACTCACTCACCATCACTCACCACTATCACTCACCACCACTCACCACCACCACCATCACTCACCACCACTCACCACCACCACTCACCACCACCGCTCACCACCACCGCTCACCACCCCCGCTCACCACCCCCACTCACCACCACCACTCACTCACCACCACCACCACTCACTCACCATCACTCACCATCACCATCACTCACTCACCATCACTCACCATCACCATCACTCACTCACCATCACTCACCATCACCATCACTCACTCACCATCACTCACCACCATCACTCACCATCACTCACAATCACTCACTCACAATCACCATCACTCACCACTCACCATCACTCACCATCACCATCACTCACCATCACTCACCACCATCACTCACCATCACTCACTCACCATCTCACCATCACTCACCACCATCACTCACCATCACTCACCATCACTCACCATCACTCACTCACCATCACTCACCACTATCACTCACCACCACTCACTACTCACCACCACCACCACCATCACTCACCACCACTCACCACCACCACTCACCATCACTCACCACCACCACCATCACTCACCACCACCACTCACCACCACTCACCACCACCACCACTCACCACCACCACTCACCACCATCACTCACCATCACCACCACCATCACTCACCACCACTCACCACCACCACTCACCACCACCGCTCACCACCACCGCTCACCACCCCCGCTCACCACCCCCGCGTCTCTCCGTGTGTCTCCGTGCGTGCCCAGGCCTGGGCTGAGACTACAGACGGCAGAAGCACGCAGGGAGCACGGCATGGACACACGTGGGTGGAGAGAGAGTGGGGAGAGTGGGGAGTGTGGGGAGTGTGTGGGGAGTGTGTGGGGAGTGTGGGGAGTGTGGGGAGTGTGTGGGGAGTGTGGGGAGTGTGTGGGGAGTGTGTGGGGAGTGTGGGGAGTGTGTGGGTAGAGAGAGTGTGGGGAGTGTGTGGGGAGTGTGTGGGTAGAGAGAGTGTGTGGGGAGTGTGTGGGGAGTGTGTGGGGAGTGTGTGGGGAGTGTGTGGGGAGTGTGTGGGGAGTGTGTGGGGAGTGTGTGGGGAGTGTGTGGGTAGAGAGAGAGTGTGGGGAGTGTGTGGGTAGAGAGAGTGTGTGGGGAGTGTGTGGGGAGTGTGTGGGGAGTGTGTGGGGAGTGTGTGGGGAGTGTGGGGGGAGTGTGTGGGTAGAGAGAGTGTGGGGAGTGTGTGGGTAGAGAGAGTGTGTGGGGAGTGTGTGGGGAGTGTGTGGGGAGTGTGTGGGGAGTGTGTGGGGAGTGTGTGGGGAGTGGGTGGGGAGTGTGGGGGGAGTGTGTGGGGAGAGTGTGGGGAGTGTGTGGGGAGTGTGTGGGGAGTGTGGGGGGAGTGTGTGGGGAGTGTGTGGGGAGTGTGTGGGGAGTGTGTGAGGAGTGTGTGGGTAGAGAGAGAGTGTGGGGAGTGTGTGGGTAGAGAGAGTGTGTGGGGAGTGTGTGGGGAGTGTGTGGGGAGTGTGTGGGGAGTGTGTGGGGAGTGTGTGGGGAGTGTGGGGGGAGTGTGTGGGGAGTGTGTGGGGAGTGTGTGGGGAGTGTGTGGGGAGAGTGTGGGGAGTGTGTGGGGAGTGTGTGGGGAGTGTGTGGGGAGAGTGTGGGGGGAGTGTGTGGGGAGAGTGTGGGGAGTGTGTGGGGAGAGTGTGGGGAGTGTGTGGGGAGTGTGTGGGGAGTGTGTGGGGAGTGTGTGGGGAGTGTGGGGAGTGTGTGGGTAGAGAGAGAGTGTGGGGAGTGTGTGGGTAGAGAGAGTGTGTGGGGAGTGTGTGGGGAGTGTGTGGGGAGTGTGTGGGGAGTGTGTGGGGAGTGTGTGGGGAGTGTGTGGGGAGTGTGTGGGGAGTGTGTGGGGAGTGTGGGGGGAGTGTGTGGGGAGAGTGTGGGGAGTGTGTGGGGAGTGTGTGGGGAGTGTGGGGGGAGTGTGTGGGGGGTGTGTGGGGAGTGTGTGGGGAGTGTGTGGGGAGTGTGTGGGGAGTGTGGGGGGAGTGTGTGGGGAGAGAGAGTGGGGAGTGTGTGTGAGGTAGAGAGTGTGAGGAGAGAGTGTGGGGAGAGAGTGTGTGTAGTGAACATCGCCACTGGGGAGACAAAGACGGCCGGGCGTGGTGCTGGCCACCCACCCCTTCGTGTGCCACAGTGCCGGTAGCCTTCACAGCTGCTGCTCGCTAACAGCACTTGCCCCTACAGCCTGTTAGAGGCTACACGGGGGATCTTTGTCTGTGTGTCTGTAGGTGCTGCTCGCTACTCACAGCACTTGCCCCTACAGTCTGTTAGAGGCTACACGGGGGACCTTTGTCTGTGTCTATAGGTGCTGCTCGCTACTCACAGCACTTGCCCCTACAGCTTGTTAGAGGCTACACGGGGGATCTTTGTCTGTGTGTCTGTAGGTGCTGCTCGCTACTCACAGCACTTGCCCCTACAGTCTGTTAGAGGCTACACGGGGGACCTTTGTCTGTGTCTATAGGTGCTGCTCGCTACTCACAGCACTTGCCCCTACAGCTTGTTAGAGGCTACACGGGGGATCTTTGTCTGTGTGTCTGTAGGTGCTGCTCGCTACTCACAGCACTTGCCCCCACAGCCTGTTAGAGGCTACACGGGGGACCTTTGTCTGTGTGTCTATAGGTGCTGCTCGCTACTAACAGCACTTGCCCCTACAGCCTGTTAGAGGCTACACGGTGGGGGATCTCTCTGTGTGTCTGTGTGTGTCTCTGGAATTCCAACAAGACCTACATCTCTGCTTTATTGACCTGGTCAAGGCCTATGATACCATCAGTAGGCCTGGGCTCTGGGTTGTTCTTCGTGCTTTTGGAGTCCCTGACCCTCTGCTCACGATCATTAAGGACCTTCATGATGGTGAGTGGGCCCGGGTAAAACTATGTGGCTGGGAGTTAGAGCCATTCCCTGTACACCTTGGGGTGCGACAGGGATGTCCTCTGGCTCCCACATTATTTAACATCTATTTTGACCACGTAGTTTGTGAAGCCTTCAATAGCTGTACCGGGGGAATCTCCATTTGGTACAGATATAATGGGAGGCTGATCCATGCCCGGGTGCGGTCAAGGGATGGCTCCCTATTGCTCAACCACGTTATGTATGCCGATGATTTGGTAATAGCTGCTCATTCAGAGGAGTAGTTGGAGACGCTGCTGCTGAGACTGGAGCGTGCCACTAAGAGGTGGGGCCTTACCATCAGCCCCACCAAAACTAAGCACCTGCCTGGGTATTTTGTACCATCGGACACTCCGCCTCCGCAACTCCCAATCGGTGATGGGGCAGTTGTGGAGAGAGTGGAGAGTTTCCCATACCTGGGCAGTGTGCTTATGACTGGCTCCAGTTTAACAGCAGAGGTCTCACTCCGAATCAGTCGAGCGGCAATATCTTTTCATCGGTTGCGTAACGCTGTGTGGAAGCTACCTGGTCTGTCGCTCCGCACTAAGCTTCAGGTCTTTTCGGCCACGGTCATTCCCTCCCTTCTCTATGCTTGCGAAACGTGGACCCCCTTAATGGAACATCTTCACCGGTTAGAAACATTTAGGCTGGCCTGCCTACTGGATTGTGTGAGGAGCTCACAAATCCTTGAAAGATCTGGGCAAGGTCCCATCGGTGAGTTACTCCGGCAGGCAAGGCTGCGTTGGCTGGGTCATGTAGCCCGCATGCCCAGCCACCGCATGCCGAAACAGCTTTTGTTCGGCCGGATCGAGGGGGCTAAACGGGCGCGGCACGGGCTAGAGAAGAGATGGAGTGATGTGGTACAGGAGGACGTGGAGCTGAGTGAACTTGCCGATGACTGGTACCAGCGGTGTCAAGATCAGCCTCTGTGGAGGAGGCTCGTGAAGGATGCTACTGGGCAGTTGGAGGCAGTCGCCCTCCAACAACAACGGAGGGCGGAGGAGCGACGCTCAGAACAACGAGCGGAGCGCCGGGTGGCTAAAGCACAGCAGGTTGGCACAGTAGGGGGCACAGGTGGTGCATCAGCCAGTCATCTCAGTCAGTCGACCCGTGGCACCTGGGTCTGCCCCGTGACCTCCTGCCAGCGGGCGTTCGACACTTCACGTGGCCTCAGGGTGCACATGGCCTGGCACAAGCGTCGTGGTGACGTCACCGCCACTTAGTGGCGAATGGCGGTTGTTGTGTTGTGTGTCTGTGTGTGTGTGTGTGTGTCTGTATGTGTATGTCTGTGTGTGTGTGTGTCTGTATGTGTATGTCTGTGTGTGTGTCTGTGTGTGTGTACTGCGTCAGGCGGAATGCTGAGGCCTCTCCGAGCACGATGCTGACCGTCTCCATCGCCAATCCTCGGGCAGCGACGCAGGCCGGCAAGCGAGCGTACGTGAGCCTCCTTCATCGCCGAGATGTTGACTACCTCGCCTGGTGTGCAGGAGGTCGTCGGTTCGATCCCGCACCCTGACGCCTGCTGCTGCTGTGTATTTGGAGTCTGCGTCTCTCTCTCTCATCATCATCACGGTGGCTAGGAGATGTTAACTACCTCGCCTGGTGTGCAGGAGGTCGTCGGTTCGATCCCGCACCCTGACGATGCTGCTACTCGCGAACAGCACTTGCCCCAACAGTCTGTTAAGGCTATACAGGGGATCTTTGTATTTGCCTCCCTCTCCGCCCCCTCCCCTACACAGACCCTCGTCCACAAACAACAAGGCCCATCTCTCCTCCACCTCGTCACCACCGCCGCCGGCGTCATCGCCGGCGTCATCGCCGGCGTCATCCCACCGCACCGTGCTGGGCTGCCCCGGCTCCCTCCTCCTCGTGTCCGCCAGGCCCCAGCCCTCACCCCGCCCCCCCGCTCCCCCTCCCCCGCTCCCCCTCCCCTCCTCCTCCTCCTCCACCTCGTCGCCGTCTTCCAAAGCAGCGACGTTGTTGGCTCGCGGCGGCCGAGGCGGTGGTGGCGGTGGTGGCGGTGGCGGTGGTGGTGGTGGTGGTGGTGGCGGTGGTGGTGGTGGTGGCCGTTGGGCTTCACCTGCCCAGCCCCGTGGAGTTCCACTCAGCCTGGAGACCTTCCGCTTGCCCAAGCAGGTGACGAGCTGTAGCCTGTGGGTGGGTGTCAGGGTCTAGAGAAGAGACTGTGGGTGGGTGTCAGGGTCTAGAGTAGAGACTGTGGGTGGGTGTCAGGGTCTAGAGTAGAGACTGTGGGTGGGTGTCAGGGTCTAGAGTGGAGGCTGTGGTGGGTGTCAGGGTCTAGAGTAGAGACTGTGGGTGGTGTCAGGGTCTAGAGTAGAGACTGTGGGTGGGTGTCAGGGTCAGGGTCTAGAGTAGAGACTGTGGGTGGGTGTCAGGGTCTAGAGTAGAGACTGTGGGTGGGTGTCAGGGTCTAGAGTAGAGACTGTGGGTGGGTGTCAGGGTCTAGAGGGGAGACTGTGGGTGGGTGTCAGGGTCTAGAGTGGAGACTGTGGGTGGGTGTCAGGGTCAGGGTCTAGAGTAGAGACTGTGGGTGGGTGTCAGGGTCTAGAGTAGAGACTGTGGGTGGGTGTCAGGGTCAGGGTCTAGAGTGGAGACTGTGGGTGGGTGTCAGGGTCTAGAGTGGAGACTGTGGGTGGGTGTCAGGGTCTAGAGTGGAGACTGTGGGTGGGTGTCAGGGTCTAGAGTGGAGACTGTGGGTGGGTGTCAGGGTCAGGGTCTAGAGTAGAGGACTGTGGGTGGGTGTCAGGGTCTAGAGTGGAGGCTGTGGGTGGGTGTCAGGGTCTAGAGTGGAGACTGTGGGTGGGTGTCAGGGTCAGGGTCTAGAGTAGAGACTGTGGGTGGGTGTCAGGGTCTAGAGTGGAGACTGTGGGTGGGTGTCAGGGTCTAGAGTAGAGACTGTGGGTGGGTGTCAGGGTCTAGAGTGGAGGCTGTGGGTGGGTGTCAGGGTCTAGAGTAGAGACTGTGGGTGGGTGTCAGGGTCTAGAGTAGAGACTGTGGGTGGGTGTCAGGGTCTAGAGTAGAGACTGTGGGTGGGTGTCAGGGTCTAGAGTGGAGGCTGTGGGTGGGTGTCAGGGTCTAGAGTGGAGGCTGTGGGTGGGTGTCAGGGTCTAGAGTAGAGACTGTGGGTGGGTGTCAGGGTCTAGAGTAGAGACTGTGGGTGGGTGTCAGGGTCTAGAGTAGAGGACTGTGGGTGGGTGTCAGGGTCTAGAGTAGAGACTGTGGGTGGGTGTCAGGGTCTAGAGTGGAGGCTGTGGGTGGGTGTCAGGGTCTAGAGTGGAGGCTGTGGGTGGGTGTCAGGGTCTAGAGTAGAGACTGTGGGTGGGGGTCAGGGTCTAGAGTAGAGACTGTGGGTGGGTGTCAGGGTCAGGGTCTAGAGTAGAGACTGTGGGTGGGTGTCAGGGTCTAGAGTAGAGACTGTGGGTGGGTGTCAGGGTCTAGAGTAGAGACTGTGGGTGGGTGTCAGGGTCTAGAGGGGGAGACTGTGGGTGGGTGTCCAGGGTCTAGAGTGGAGACTGTGGGTGGGTGTCAGGGTCAGGGTCTAGAGTAGAGACTGTGGGTGGGTGTCAGGGTCTAGAGTAGAGACTGTGGGTGGGTGTCAGGGTCAGGGTCTAGAGTGGGACTGTGGGTGGGTGTCAGGGTCTAGAGTGGAGACTGTGGGTGGGTGTCAGGGTCTAGAGTGGAGACTGTGGGTGGGTGTCAGGGTCTAGAGTGGAGACTGTGGGTGGGTGTCAGGGTCAGGGTCTAGAGTAGAGACTGTGGGTGGTTTGTCAGGGTCTAGAGTGGAGGCTGTGGGTGGGTGTCAGGGTCTAGAGTGGAGACTGTGGGTGGGTGTCAGGGTCTAGAGTGGAGACTGTGGGTGGGTGTCAGGGTCTAGAGTAGAGACTGTGGGTGGGTGGGTGTCAGGGTCTAGAGTAGAGACTGTGGGTGGGTGTCAGGGTCTAGAGTAGAGACTGTGGGTGGGTGTCAGGGTCAGGGTCTAGAGTGGAGACTGTGGGTGGGTGTCAGGGTCTAGAGTAGAGACTGTGGGTGGGTGTCAGGGTCAGGGTCTAGAGTGGAGACTGTGGGTGGGTGTCAGGGTCTAGTAGAGACGGTGGGTGTCAGGGTCTAGAGTGGAGGCTGTGGGTGGGTGTCAGGGTCTAGAGTAGAGACTGTGGGTGGGTGTCAGGGTCTAGAGTAGAGACTGTGGGTGGGTGTCAGGGTCTAGAGTAGAGACTGTGGGGTGGGTGTCAGGGTCTAGAGTAGAGACTGTGGGTGGGTGTCAGGGTCTAGATTGAGACTGTGGGTGGGTTGTCAGGGTCTAGAGTGGAGACTGTGGGTGGGTGTTCAGGGTCTAGAGTGGAGACTGTGGGTGGGTTGTCAGGGTCTAGAGTGGAGGACTGTGGGTGGGTGTCAGGGTCTAGAGTGGAGACTGTGGGTGGGTGTCAGGGTCTAGAGTAGAGACTGTGGGTGGGGTGTCAGTGTCAGGGTCTAGAGTAGAGACTGTGGGTGGGTGTCAGGGTCTAGAGTAGAGACTGTGGGTGGGTGGGTGTCAGGGTCTAGAGTAGAGACTGTGGGTGGGTGTCAGGGTCTTAGAGTAGAGACTGTGGGTGGGGTGTCAGGGTCAGGGTCTAGAGTGGAGACTGTGGGTGGGTGTCAGGGTCTAGAGTAGAGACTGTGGGTGGGTGTCAGGTCAGGGTCTAGAGTGGAGACTGTGGGTGGGTGTCAGGGTCTAGTAAGAGACGGTGGGGTGTCAGGGTCTAGAGTGGAGGCTGTGGGTGGGTGTCAGGGTCTAGAGTAGAGACTGTGGGTGGGTGTCAGGGTCTAGAGTAGAGACTGTGGGTGGGTGTCAGGGTCTAGAGTAGAGACTGTGGGTGGGTGTCAGGGTCTAGAGTAGAGACCTGTGGTGGTGTCAGGGCCTGTGGTGGGTGTCAGGGTCTAGAGTGGAGACTGTGGGTGGGTGTCAGGGTCTAGAGTGGAGACTGTGGGTGGGTGTCAGGGTCTAGAGTGGAGACCTGTGGGTGGGTGTCAGGGTCTAGAGTGGAGACTGTGGGTGGGTGTCAGGGTCCTAGAGTAGAGACTGTGGGTGGGTGTCAGGGTCTAGAGTAGAGACTGTGGTGGGTGTCAGGGTCTAGAGTAGAGACTGTGGGTGGGTGTCAGGGTCTAGAGTAGAGACTGTGGGTGGGTGTCAGGGTCTAGAGTAGAGACTGTGGGTGGGTGTCAGGGTCTAGAGTAGAGACTGTGGGTGGGTGTCAGGGTCTAGTAGAGACTGTGGGTGGGTGTCAGGGTCTAGAGTAGAGACTGTGGGTGGGTGTCAGGGTCTAGAGTAGAGACTGTGGGTGGGTGTCAGGGTCAGGGTCTAGAGTAGAGACTGTGGGTGGGTGTCAGGGTCAGGGTCTAGAGTAGAGACTGTGGGTGGGTGTCAAGGTCTAGAGTAGAGACTGTGGGTGGGTGTCAGGGTCTAGAGTGGAGACTGTGGGTGGGTGTCAGGGTCAGGGTCTAGAGTAGAGACTGTGGGTGGGTGTCAGGGTCTAGAGTGGAGACTGTGGGTGGGTGTCAGGGTCTAGAGTAGAGACTGTGGGTGGGTGTCAGGGTCTAGAGTAGAGACTGTGGGGGGGTGTCAGGGTCTAGAGTGGAGACTGTGGGTGGGTGTCAGGGTCTAGAGTGGAGACTGTGGGTGGGTGTCAGGGTCTAGAGTGGAGACTGTGGGTGGGTGTCAGGGTCTAGAGTAGAGACTGTGGGTGGGTGTCAGGGTCTAGAGTAGAGACTGTGGGTGGGTGTCAGGGTCTAGAGTGGAGACTGTGGGTGGGTGTCAGGGTCTAGAGTAGAGACTGTGGGTGGGTGTCAGGGTCTAGAGTAGAGACTGTGGGTGGGTGTCAGGGTCTAGAGTAGAGACTGTGGGTGGGTGTCAGGGTCTAGAGTGGAGACTGTGGGTGGGTGTCAGGGTCTAGAGTGGAGACTGTGGGTGGGTGTCAGGGTCTAGAGTAGAGACTGTGGGTGGGTGTCAGGGTCTAGAGTAGAGACTGTGGGTGGGTGTCAGGGTCTAGAGTAGAGACTGTGGGTGGGTGTCAGGGTCTAGAGTAGAGACTGTGGGTGGGTGTCAGGGTCAGGGTCTAGAGTGGAGACTGTGGGTGGGTGTCATGGTCTAGAGTAGAGACTGTGGGTGGGTGTCAGGGTCTAGTAGAGACTGGGTGGGTGTCATGGTCTAGAGTAGAGACTGTGGGTGGGTGTCAGGGTCTAGAGTAGCGACTGTGGGTGGGTGTCAGGGTCTAGAGTAGAGACTGTGGGTGGGTGTCAGGGTCAGGGTCTAGAGTAGAGACTGTGGGTGGGTGTCAGGGTCAGGGTCTAGAGTAGAGACTGTGGGTGGGTGTCAGGGTCTAGAGTGGAGACTGTGGGTGGGTGTCAGGGTCTAGAGTAGAGACTGGGTGGGTGTCAGGGTCTAGAGTGGAGACTGTGGGTGGGTGTCAGGGTCTAGAGTGGAGACTGGGTGGGTGTCAGGGTCAGGGTCTAGAGTAGAGACTGTGGGTGGGTGTCAGGGTCTAGAGTAGAGACTGTGGGTGGGTGTCAGGGTCTAGAGTAGAGACTGTGGGTGGGTGTCAAGGTCTAGAGTGGAGACTGTGGGTGGGTGTCAAGGTCTAGAGTGGAGACTGTGGGTGGGTGTCAAGGGCTAGAGTGGAGACTGTGGGTGGGTGTCAAGGTCTAGAGTGGAGACTGTGGGTGGGTGTCAGGGTTAGAGTCTAGAGTAGAGACTGTGGGTGGGTGTCAAGGTCTAGAGTAGAGACTGTGGGTGGGTGTCAGGGTCTAAAGTGGAGACTGTGTGGGGTGTCAAGGTCTAGAGTAGAGACTGTGGGTGGGTGTCAGGGTCTAGAGTGGAGACTGTGGGTGGGTGTCAGGGTCTAGAGTAGAGACTGTGGGTGGGTGTCAGGGTCAGGGTCTAGAGTAGAGACTGTGGGTGGGTGTCAGGGTCTAGAGTAGAGACTGTGGGTGGGTGGGTGTCAGGGTCTAGAGTAGAGACTGTGGGTGGGTGTCAGGGTCTAGAGTAGAGACTGTGGGTGGGTGTCAGGGTCAGGGGTCTAGAGTGGAGACTGTGGGTGGGTGTCAGGGTCTAGAGTAGAGACTGTGGGTGGGTGTCAGGGTCA